GAATTCAGGTCTTCACTGATCATCAGAGTTTGAAGTACCTTTTCACTCAGAAGGAGCTTAACTTAAGACAGAGACGGTGGCTAGAGTTGGTGAAGGACTATGATTGTGAGATTAGTTACCATCCGGGTAAAGCGAACGTTGTGGCCGATGCTCTTAGTAGAAAGGCGGCAAGTGTGGCATCTTTAGTAGCGGCCTGCAGTCCAATGCACAACGAGTTGGAACGCTTGGAGGTGGAGCGACGGTGGATGATGTCTCAGCGTTGTTGGCTCGACTCTTAGTGGAACCTAGCCTGAGACAGAGGATCATTGTTGCCCAAAAGAAAGATCCTAGCTTGGCCAAAGGCTTTAGTATGGTGGGACATGGAGATTTCACTCTTTCGGGTGAGGCAGCTTTGCTTTTTCACGGAAGGTTGTGTGTGCCAAAAGATTATTCTTTGAGGAAGGACTTACTGGGAGAGGCACACAATGCTCCATACTCGGTTCATCCAGGAAGCACCAAAATGTATCAAGACCTCAAGAAACATTATTGGTGGCATAACATGAAGAGGGAAATAGCTCAGTTTGTTAGCAAGTGTTTGACATGCCAGCAGGTAAAGGCTTTAAGGCAGAGACCTGCTGGATTGTTGCAACCTTTGAGCATACCAGTTTGGAAGTGGGACGATGTGGCGATGGACTTCATTACAGAACTACCAAGGATGGTTAAGGGATTTACTGTGATTTGGGTAGTTGTAGATCGTTTGACCAAGTCTGCTCACTTTATTCCCGACAAGGCCACGTATACAGTAGAAAAATGGGCGGAACTGTATTTACAGGAAATTGTCAGGCTCCATGGTATACCTGTATCCATAGTGTCCGATCGCGACCCGCGTTTAACCTTGACTTTTTGGCGGAGTTTACACAAGTCCCTTGGCACTAAGTTGGACTTTAGCACAGCGTTTCATCCCCAAACTGATGGTCAAACGGAGCGTTTGAACCAGGTTTTAGAGGACATGCTTAGAGCTTGCATGTTAGACTTTGGTGGTGGTTGGGACAAGTATCTCTACCTAATAGAGTTCGCTTATAATAACAGTTTTCAGGCCACGATTGGGATGGCTCCATACGAGGCACATTATGGGAAGAAGTGTCGGTCTCCGGTTAATTGGGACGAAGTCGGAAAAAATAGTCCTCTTGGGACCGGATTTGATGCAGGTGACTAACAGTGCCATTCAAAAGATTAGGGGAAGGATGCAAATCGCTCAGAGCCGTCAGAAGAGTTATGCAGACATCAAGCGTAAGGAACTCGAGTTTGTGGTAGGTGAGCGGGTGTTTCTTCGTGTGGTACCCGTGAAGGGAATTTTACGTCTTGGGAAGAAGGGGAAGCTCAGTGCAAGGTTCATTGGGCCTTTTGAGATTTTGGAACGTATCGGCCTAGTCGCGTATAGGTTGGCTTTGCCACCATCGTTGGCAGTTCACAATGTGTTTCACATGTCCATGCTGAGGAGGTACATTCATGACCCTTCGCACGTTTTAGATCCTGAACCATTACAACTAGATGAGTCTTTGTGCTACGAAGAGGTACCTGTCAAAATTTTGGCAAAAGAAACCAAGTTGTTAAGGAATTAGACGATTCGCACACTTCTAGGTCACGTTAACTACCCACCTATCTAAACTTAACACCAAACACGAGATGACAACTCCCTGTGAAATAATTATATAAAATAAAGCTTCAACTCTCATTGTTCGTATAGGTAGTGACTATCAATTTTTTTTAACCCTTTATTGACCATTCTTCAATAATCTCAGGATCTCTCTCATTCGGATGTGGTATCGGTTCATTCATATACCCCTCCTCTCGGGCGTCACATGCCCACCAGCTTCCGCCTTGGTTCGTCCCCGAACCACATCTTACTGGGAGAGGTTCCGCTCTGATACCATCTGTAACGCCCCAGGCCCAGGATTCGGAATCCAGTTTCGGCACC